GTAACTGCTTTTTGCAAACCAGGTTCCTTCATTCCAAACCCTGGGGTGGTAATCAATACCTTTGTGATTTTTGCCTATATAAATCTGGTGTTGCAGCCATCTTATCACTATGAGATCTGGGAGAGCGAAATGCCCCCTCATAGTCCCGGATTTGCAATAAATGTGACTCTTTAATTCATCTTCTTGAGGCATCCTTGTGTGATTGGCGGGGTACATTACAACAGCACAAAAGAGTAAATGCTTAGTTTTTCTAAATCTAGAGCCTTCAATTAAGGCTTGACACAGAAGATGATTTTGTAGCTGAATCTTAAAGACCAGAGAAGTGTTAGGTTTGATTGAGCAATTGAATTGATACTCCTCCCCTGGGAACTGGCTTTCCAGGTCATTTCACTATGGATATTCCCTTTGCTGAGACCACATTCACTTGTGGTGACCACATTCCATTATCTCCCCTCCAGGTATGCATAAAGAAGTATCCGCCCAGAAAAAAAGCCCACCAAAAGACTTTTAAAAGCCAATGACTATTGTCACTGGGTGCTGGAGCTATCCAGGCTCAGCCACCTGGTGTGCAGATGATCAAATAAATTCGTAATCCCTCACCATTCTGGCCTCGTGTATTCCTCCTTCAGTGACCTAACAAGAAGTTGCTCAGAAGGACAAAAGAGAAAATTGCTAATTGAGCAATAAATTGCTTAGTAATGTAAAAGTATTAGGAACCTTGGGAGAAAGTGACTATTCGAATAATTTTAGAGTCTGTAGCAGTGAAGGAAAAGCATGCAAGTTTAGTTCAAAATGTCTGGCCCAGCCTGTGTGGCTCAGTAGTTGAACATCAACCCATGTAACAGGTCATCATTCCATTCCTGGTCAGGGCACATGCCTGCATTGCTGGTTTGATCCCCTATACAGGAAACAGCAGATCAATGATTCTCTCTCATCTTTGATTTTTCTTTCACTCTCTCCCTCTTTCTTCTTCTCTCGGAAATCAATAAGAACATTTTTTTTAAATGTAGTCTGTATAGGAAATAGACTATATTTCAGAGGAAGGATATATTGAGGAAGTAGACTGTAGTTCAGAGGAAAGATAAGGATTCACTGGGCAAGATATTCTAAAAGGTACCCTTGATCAAGAAGCATGGGTGATTCTTAAAAAAAAAATGAAATTAGATAATATGAGCTCATAAATTATAGCTGTTCATAAAGCCCATCAGATAAAGATCTCCAGAGCCAAACCTGTAACCTAACCAAGTTAGGTGTATTAACTTGCAGCAAAGAACACCACACAGCAGAAGAACTGTGGGCATGTCTCCAAAAAGGGAAGAAATGGGGGTCATTATAGTATTAGGGGAAGAGGAGAGTTTAAGTAGGATCTAAGTGAAACAGTACTTAAGAGACTCAGATCAGTATGTAAATGGGTTAATATCAGACCTCAGTTGACAAGCAGACTCTGGGGTCTATTTCCTTGGGGGGGGGAAAAATTTAAGATTAATGTAGAATATTGTGTCCCAGAGTCCTTATCTGAACCTATGCACACACTCTAAATCAGTGGTCCTCAACCTTCCTAATGCCGCGACCCTTTAATACAGTTCCTCATGTTGTGGTGACCCCCAATTTCATTGTTACAAATTGAACATAATTAAAGCATAGTGATTAATCACAAAAACAATATGTAATGATATATGTGTTTTCCAATGGTCTTAGGCGACCCTTGTGAAAGGGTCGTTCGACCCCCAAAGGGGTTGCGACCCACAGGTTGAGAACCGCGGCTCTAAATTGAGGCTGCTTCTCTAAGTGAAAGTGATTTGAATAGTTGACATCCGCCAGGCAAGAAAGGAACACTCTGTTCTCCCTAATATGAGTTCCAAACAAGCAAGTTCGGATAAGCTATGATTTTAGAGAACAAGGTTTCTCAGCATCGTCCTTTGATAATTAACCAAAGCAATTTTTCTGGCTCACAGTTTATAATACTGAATAATTAAGAAAAAATATTATTTTATCAGTAGAACTCCAGGAGCTCTGACTTTTAGAGAGTTTGACCTATTGAGAATAGGGAGGAGGTCATATGGAGTTAGGGAATCTAGAAAACCTCTTAAGAGATGTGGTGTTAGCCAGCCTCCAACACTGTCCTCAGTAATCCTCGCTTCCTGGCATGAATGCCCATGTGTAATCTCCCTCACATCAGAGCTGGTCTGTGTGACCAAAAGCGTAATATGTGTCTTCTGAGACCAGATCATAAAAGGCCTTGTGGCTTCCACCTTGGTCTTTTGGCTTCCTTACTCTCTTGGGGAAGCCAGCTGCCACAGAGAACACTCAAACAGCCTGGAGAAGAATTGAGGACTCTTCCCCTCCCACTAAGAGACAGCACCTGCCTGCCAGCCTTGGAAGCAGGTCTTCCGTCCCCAGTCAAGCCTCACTGCTGCCTCAGGAGTAGCCCTGAGCCAGCTGGCCCAGCTAAGATGCTCCTAAATTCCTGACTCACAGAAACTGTGCAAGATAATAAATATTTATCATTGTTTTAAGTCAAGCACGTCAAACTCAAAGGCTAACACGGGCCAAATAAACAAGGTCTAAGTTTATATGGGCTGCAAGAAAACAAAAGGTTCAATTTTCATAGAAACATAGGTTTATTTCGATAGAGACATGCTGAATACAAAGGGCTGAAATCAATGAGTAATCGTTAACATAAAATAATAGAACATTTTAATAAAAATTAATATTTTTTCTTGAGCATTAACTTACCAGACACTGAATAACTGCACAAAGTAATAAGCGTAATGCAAATAAACCTATTTTTCTTGTTCTCTGAAAGTGAAATATTTCCTGTTGTACACATCAAACAAGTCAGTCCAAGACTAATGACGTGGCAATCGGCTGCTAAAATATTTGTTGCTAGTATTAGTGGAGAGAAATGGTGCGCCTGCGTGTAAGGCAAGTAAGGGAAATGAATGTAACACGATTATAGTAATCAGTCATTAGCAAACATTGTAGTTCGTTATTAATAACTAGAGGCCCGGTGCACAAAAATTTGTGCATTGGTGGGGGAGGGGGGGGAGGGGGGTGTCCCTCAGCCCCACTTGTGCCCTCTCACAGTCTGGGGACCCCTCGTGAGATAACCACCTGCTGGCTTAGGCCTGCTCCCCGGGTGGCAGATGGCAGGCCCGATCCCTCGGTGCCTGCCCTGCCTCCCCGGTTCGTGCACACGGCAGGGCCAATCCGGGGGTTGGGGCGCCGCCCCAGGTTGGGTCGCACACGGGAAGCCCGGGCGGGCCGGCAGATTGCACAGGGGATGCCCGGATGAGGCCAGGCGGGCTGGCCGATCGCTGCTGCACCGCCTGGCCGCCCCAGGTCAGGTCGCACACGGACGCCCACCACCCCGGGTCACAGGTAGCAGGCCCGGATGGCGGCAGGGCAGGCGGGATGGCGCTGTCCCACCCTGCCTGCAGTATGCAAATTAGCCGCCATCTTTGTTGGTGGTTAATTTGCATATCGCACTGATTAGCCAATGGGAGGCATAGCGAAGGTACAGTCAATTACCATGTTTGTCTATTATTAGATAGGATTATGTATAACAGGATATTGTAAAAATTAAGTTACAAAATTTTTATTAAAACGTTTCTTATGTACTGTTATATTGGCTGGGCCACAAAAATATTCGTTATGGGCCACATATGGCCCTTGGGCTGTGAGTTTGACATGCTTGTTTTAAGCCATTACATTTTGGGGTAATTTTTTATGCAGTTGATGTGATCTGGGCCACACCTTGAAAAATAGATAGAAGAAAGGGGCTTTAGATATAATGAGAGCAAAGAAGTGGTATGGATGGGGGTTCAAGGAAGGGTGTGAAGTAGGACAAACAGTTGAAATGTTTAATGGAGGTCAATATTTAATGGAGTTAATTATTCAATGTTTAATTCAAGTTCAGGGTTGAGTAGTAACCTCAGCTTCTATTTAGGGAAGGCCATGTTAGTGGCAGTGTGTAGGATGGATGGAAGGAGGAAACATCCAGCAGAGAGAACAGTTTGAACACTCTTGAAATAATCTAGGTAAGAGGCTGTGATCATGTGAGTCAGGGCAACACAGAGCAAACAAGAAGAAAGGACTTTGGGTTCAAATTAGATGGGGCGGGTGAGATTGTTATTTAGTTGGAAGAAAAATTTTAAATGGACTCTGAGATTTCCTGGTGGGGTGCCTGAGAGGAGGATAATATTTACCTGAGGACAGGAGCAGAGAAGTCGTGTGTGCTTACCAAAGAAGGTAATCATATGCAAATGAATACATTCCTCACTAGTTCCTCATCACCAATACCAACTCCAGGATGTTTAGCATCTTACACAAAGGCAGTTATGATAGAAGCTCTGCCTACCTCCGTGAATCCTGTCTTGGCACTCCTCCCCTCCAATAGATGTTTTCTACCTCTGCCCCAGGAGACAAAAGCACACTGCTATTCCCCTCTGTTGTCTTCCCTTAACTATGCTGTTCCTTCTACCTGAAATAGCAATCTCTTCCTGCCCTACCATCCCCACTCCCAACTCAGCTCATCCTTTAATAGGAGGCACTGATGGTCTCCTACTCCAAACTGTGTTTTCTGACCATTTCTACCTACCCCCCACCTCCTGGCAAGTTAACCACTTCCTCCTTTGTACTACTTCTGTTTCATATATGATTCTATTACTGTATAATGGGGTGTCTGGAGAGGCATGTCATTGCTCTGACAAAGTAAACACGTAAGTCACCAGGAACATATCATCTTTGCTTAGAAAGGAGTCACTTGAGAAGCTCCTCTTACTGATACAAATGGCAGAAGAGATAGGTACCCATTGCATCAGGGAGAGTATATAATAAGACATCCTGACAAGACAATTCCTATTAGCCCAAACCCATACAGGGAAAGTTTGCCCAGTAGAGCCTCTGAGAGGAAAGAGATTTCGATCTCAACCTCTTTCTTGTCCAGGTTGACCATTATTAGAACCGCTCTGATGACTGAGATAGTCCTGTCTCACTAGCACAGGATCCTAAAGAGAAAGTCTTCAGGAGGAATAGAAATCTGGGCTAATGAACTAGTTCAACAGCAGAGCCTCATGGCCACAGGTAGAGCTAAGTTATGAAAGCCATCCCAATTCAGTCACCTAGGAACTACCCCTGTTTTGGGGGGACAATGTCCCAGCATAGAGAAGCTTTGGGAGTCTGTGCTTCAGCCAGTCTACAACCTGTGCACCTGGTGCATTGGGCGGTGGAACAAGGGTCCTTGGGACTGACAGAGCCAACTTGCAATGGCAACACCAGCTAGCAGCCAAAGATTTTTATTAGCCAAAACTCCAGTCACTAAACTACTCAGAAACCTTAATTCCCTCTCTTATCTGCAAACAAGTCTAATAACCACTTTGGGCTGAGTTAGCTCCTATTGGTTTTGATGAAGTAGGTGAAAGAGGCAATACCAAGAACAAAATACTGGATTTCCTAATAAGGGAATTAATTGGGCAATTCATTGGGAAAAATAAATAATATGAAATGTTATGTGACTTTTACCCCAGACCAGTGGTCGGCAAACTCATTAGTCAGCAGAGCCAAATATCAACAGTACAACGATTGAAATTTCTTTTGAGAGCCAAATTTTTTTAAACTTAAACTATATAGGTAGGTACATTGTTATTAACTTAATTAGGGTACTCCTAAGGCTTAGGAAGAGCCACACTCAAGGGGCCAAAGAGCCGCATGTGGCTCGCAAGCCGCAGTTTGCCGACCACGGCCCCAGACTAATGAAGCAGATCATACTAATTAAAAATGTATATGCACACTTGTTTCTTTACAGTAGCTATATCCTCAGGCCCTGTACCATGCTAGCACATAGCAGGCACTCAATGGAGGAAGGGAAAGGGAGAAAGAGAGAGACATCGATGTGAGAGAAAACTAGCACTGATTAAAAAGAAAATTACTACCAACCTTTAGGTATTCAACTGACTTAGTTTATTTATTTATACCTTGGTATCTAGTCTCACATCTACTTCATTCCTTTTCTGTGAAACAGATGCCAGAAGATGATTATTTAAGTAACAATGATAGCTATGAGAGGGAAGCTATAGAGACAAACAAAAGAGGAAGATTTCAGGGCTGCAATGGACCTTGACATCTAGACCAATGGCCTTATTTGCAGATGAAGACAGATCATAGGGAGAGGTGAGTTCCGGAGGTGAAGCGACTTGGCCAATGTTTTGTTACTAATTAGTGGGGGAATCAGTATTACCTCTCCTATTCCATCACCTGTTTCTAGACTTTCCCACTTCTTTCCTCTATAATAGAGTTACATTAAGATAGACCCATTCAGAATAGTAATGTAATCAGTGTTGGTACCCACTGGATTTAGATATTTCTATTTAAAGTTATTACATTTAGGCTTTAATAATCAAAACAGGGTTATTTAAAATTAAATTTTAGCCCTTGACTGCTTTGGCTCAGTGGATAGAGTGTCGGCCTGCGGACTCAAGGGTCCCAGGTTTGATTCTGGTTGGGGGCATGTGCCTTGGTTGTGGGCACATCCCCAGTGGGGGGTGTGCAGGAGGCAGCTGTTCGGTGTTACTCTCTCATCGATGTTTCTAACTCTCTATCCCTCTCCCTTCCTCTCTGTAAAAAATCAATAAAATATATTTTTAAAAATTAAATTAAATTAAATTAAATTTTAAATGACACCATAGATAAATAATGAGTTCCATTAAGCAATTTTATTTAAGGTTATTTCCTGCAGCATTATTTGAAATTACAAAATAATGGAATCTAATCAAACATAGGACATGATTGTAAAACCTTTGGTAAAGGTGCAGATTGAGTTCTATGCAGCTGTAAAAAATAATAGAGATCTCTATGAACTGAAATGAAATAATTTCAGAAGGAATCATTAAGTTACAAAAAGCAGACAAGTTTATATAGAATGCTACCTTTTAAGTACAAAAGAAAGGAAAACAAGGATATATATATACATATTTTCTTATCATTGTAAAATAAACACTAAAGGAGAAAACAGATAACAATGAATTGGTGGTATATGGGGGTGGCAGGAAACCAGATGGAAGGAATGTAAAGGGAATATCACTTCTCTGAGAATATATATATATATTATATACACACACACACACACACACACACACACACATATATATATATATATATATATATATATATATATATATTGCGTAATTCTGACTCTTGAAGCATATTTATGTCTTACATATTTTGAAATTAAATTCAACCACTAAGAATGAGGGGGAAATGAAAACCTGAAAGGAAAACAAAACAAATGAACATAATTGTATTTCAGATGAAACCATAACCCAAACTAGACAGGAGGGTTGGGGGAGAAGAGGGCACAACACTAAGAAACGAGCTAAGGAAGGAAGGAAAGATGGAAGGAAGCCAAGTAAATAATGAACAAATATTTGACTACTCTTGGCAAGGTGAAGGATAAGAACAAATTACAAATTAATGCTGAGCTCATGTTACAAATGTCTTTATTGTAGTATTATGGGCAAAGTGATTCTGAAGCTATTTTAGAATATATTATAGGATTGAGCAAATGTATTGATGTTGTTGGTAACTACAGACCTCAGGAAGGTAGAAGAGACATAGAAATATGTAATGGAAGAAGACAAAAAAGGAACCCGAGGGGATGGATTGGAATTGGAGTTCTCAGGTGTGAATTTATAAAATCTAAAACATGTAGATAGTGTGTGTATGCATATATAAAGTTCATGTGTATAAGTACATATGTTTATGTATTTGCAGATAATGGCGAGGAATAAACTTTCCTCTATCTTCCAGGTTCTTTTGCCTGGTCTAATAATTAAATCTGCATGGGACAGATTAACAAGAGAAAATTACCAAATTTAAATATGTATGTATGTATGTATATATGTACGTATGAATAAGAAAGTCAGAAATCCTATACATACAGTACATGAGAGGTTCAGAGATAGAAAGAAAAATGAGGTTGTATGACATTTTGAACTAAGGATGAGGTAAAGCGCTTTGGGTCTTTAGTGGGGAGGAAGGTCATTTCCAGGACAATAAGAAGATAGGTGTTTAGTAATTAGTGGTTTTCCCTGCCATAGAGATAGGTTAAAAAGTTTATCTCTGATCATCTCTTATGGGCAATGCCCCTAATTTAAATTCTAGGTAGTTGAGGGAGGGGGTGGACAGAAGTTTCTCTTGAGCCCATAGTTGCCTTTAGCTCAAAAATAATCCACATACCACAGAGGCACATCTTGGGGTCATTCATTCTGAACCCCTACACAGGTGTATATTTGTATATCTGTATAATATATTTCTTAATTTTGTCCACTGAAAGGGCCAAGAAGCAGATACTTTGGTACCTAGATCTTGATCTTTAATACCATTCTTCACTGACAAACCAGGGCTCCTCAAAATAACATCTAATTCCATGGATGGAGCAGGTTAAGTATAAGATGAGCCTAGAACATCTAGTTATTCCAGAAAATAAGGAGATGATTTTAAAAATTATGAGCATGTGTCACATGAACACAAGAGCCATCTAGAAGAGACTCTTTTTGCCCAAATCTGGGATAATTTATGCACTAAAATAAGTACAGTAATTGAAGAAATAGAAATTACTAACAATACCTATAATAAATAAATAATGCAGAAGACAGAGCCCTTGATACAGTGGAATGCTAAGGGCCAACTGGTAAATTTGTAGGAATACACAAGTGGAAAATTATCATTTTGCAACAGTCATAGTAAGGATTGAGTCAGACAAGAATTACCAATGGATGTTAAATCTAGGAGGAAATTTTGGTAAGAAATAGGATATTTTCATAATACTAAATTATCTCCCCATAGACCAACCATTAGTTACAACAGAAAATAGTAATTTTACAGAGAACAAAATGAAAAACATCTTGCCTGGGCAGTCCAAATTAGTATCATCAATGTGAGATAGATCAACATCTCATCTCTGTAAATGAGCTCCTCTAAAAAAGATATATCTCTTATGCAGTATTCTGGTCTAGAAGGCATAATGTGAATCTAATCATGAAGAAACTCAGAACCTATATAAGGAACATTTAAAAAGGGCAGGTACTGTGTTTATCAAAAAAGTCAATGTCATAAAGACAAAGAAAGGCTTTAGAAATACTCTAGATTAAAGGAGGCTAAAGAGAGGTGACAATTAAAAGCAATAGTTAATCCCAAACTGGATTTTGTATTGAGGGAGGAGAGAGTAAGAGACTTTGTTAGGACATTATTGGGTTAACAACTGACAAAATTGGAATATGATTGGTAGATTAGAGTATTATATTGATGTTATATTACTGAAATTGATAAACATACTGTGGTTATATTAGGCCATATCCATATTCTAAGAAATATACACTGAACTTTAATGAGTAAAGGGCCATAATTTTTGAGTAAAAGGCCTTCAAATGGTTCAGGGGAAAACACACACATATACATATACAAAAAGAGAAAGCACAGACGCACAAATGATAAAGCAAAGGTTTTATAATAGATAAATCTGGATAAAGAGTATGAGTGTTTTGTGCTATTTTAATTTTTGTAACTTTCTGTAAGTTTGAAATTTATTCAAATAATAAGTTTTTTTAAGAAGAGAAAAATTAAAGATTAATTCAGGAATATCCATAGCAACCTTATTCATAACAGCCTAAAACTGGATACCCCAGTATCCATCAACAAGAGATTGAGTAAACAGGTTGTGGTATATCCCTACGATGAAATACTATTCAGCAATAAAAAGGAAGAACTATTGATAAGTACAGCAATATGGATGAATATCAGAAACAGTGAAAGATATGTGTATGCATACACACACATGCACACACACACAAACATCCTTGATTAAATGAAGTACAAGAACAGGCAAAAAAATTTATGATAGAAGTCAGGAAGTGATTGCATTTTAAAGTGGGGTAAAATTGGCTGGAAGATAGCATGAGGGAACTTTTGGGGGTGATGAAAATGTTCTATATTTTGTTTGGGTGATGGTTTCATGGGTATTTACTAATGTTAAAAGTCATCAGACTGAACACTTAAAATCTGTGCCTTTTAGGGAATGAAAGTTATAAATCCAACTAAATGATTGAATGAATAAATAAACAAACAAGCTAATTATTTTTTTAAAATATATTTTATTGATTTTTTACAGAGAGGAAGGAAGAGGGACAGAGCGTTAGAAATATCGATGAGAGAGAAACATCGATCAGCCGCCTCCTGCACACCCCCAACCGGGGATGTGCCCACAGGCAAGGTACATGCCCTTGGCCGGAATCGAACCCAGGACCCTTCAGTCCGCAGGCCGATGCTCTATCCACTGAGCCAAACCAGCCAGGGCCAAGCTAATTATTTTTAAGGGAGATTTTCTAAGGTAAATTCAGGTTGAAAGAGAAGTTGCACCCATTTAAACATTTGTTCCAGTGTTAATACCATTGTGAAAGAGCCAGCGTATCTAAAAATATGAAAGGGAAATCATTTACTTTAAGAGGACCTAAGATATCTAAAAACATGGCAGGGAAATTATTTATCTTAACCTTTCTCCAAACAACCTTTAGAATATTTAAAATGCCTGTGAGATGTACAATTTCAAAACATAAACCAGTTTGTAATCCAGAAAGATGAATATATTGCTACACTTCCTGGAAGGACTTCTAAATGTTGCTGCTCGGGGTTTTGTTTCCATACCTGTACAGAGTGGCACATCTTCCTAGAATTGGGGCCTGTTTGGGCAACATTTTGTGCTGGGCATGTTGTCCCAGCCTGCCCATGCTGGGCACCCACTGGGGCTGCGACTACACACGTTAGCAAGTTCCACCCACTTCAGGCATTTATCTTTAACAGTATATGGAGTTCATTTTATTCAAGTGATAAAAGGATTAATTAGAAAAACTAAACTCCACCATGGAAATAATGTGAGTTTAAATATCTGTGCCATATTTCAAGTACTCACAGCTATAGTCATGGTTTAGTTTTAGAGCTGCAGCAGCTAGTCGAGATGCTGGCGAAGTTTCCGCCAGGAGGTGGGAGGTGCTGTCTTGCTCTGGTCCTTTGGCAGCTCTGTCTTCCATCAGGCTGCCACTGTGGGTTCTTTCTCCACCTTTCTGGCTTCAGAGTGCCACACTGGTCCAGTCGTGGGGTCGCCTCATGACTAGTATACAAATTCTAGAGTTGCTTTTGCTTTTTCTGTTCCTCAAACTTCAGTTTCAAGGGCACAAATTTTATCAATGATTCTTTGATTGGTGTAGAATGTTGTGCTTCTAATTGCTACTCCTTAAATCTTTGCAAAACAGGGACTTCCATAAGAAGACCTTTACTGATGCCTTGTGTCTGAGCTTCTCTACAAATCCCTACTAACCCCCTGCTACAGCCAGAGGGGGGCAGAAATAAAAACCATGTGGATTGAGACCCTCTCTTAACACACAAATTCCTCTTGATCTACAGCTATAGCAGCTGCAGTCAAAGCAACCGGCTTGCGTACCACCTCGTGGGTGTTTTACAAGTTTTCCATTTCACACTCACCCATATTTGGGCTGCAGATTGATCTGAATACGTGCCTTTGAACAAAACACCAGGAAGCAGAAAGAACAATGGGCTGGGAGTCTTGAGTCTGAATTTCACCTCAAGTTTTGTCATAAATAACTGGTTGACCTTAATATCTGATTCTCAGCTTTCTTATATGTGAAATGAAAGGGTCAATACTAGTTACTTCCGAGAACAGGACTTGGAACCATTAGCTGCTGGGAGAGACGTCCAGATTTAAAGGTCTGACCCTGGGGCAGACAAGGACATGCCAATTGGAGATCAAAAGAATCACCGAAGGAGACAAACTCTGACATATTGACACATACAAATGACTGAGAGAGAACTGTTTTTTGTTTTATACCTTTTCTACCATTAAATAAAAATGTACATGTATTACTTTTATACATTTTTTAAATACCAAAAATTTTGAAACAGAAAAGGTTTGGACAGGTTGATTCCTAATATCACTTAGTCCTTAGAAATATTATTGAAAATGTTACCATATGTGTTAGAGCAGGGGAAGGAATTCACTCCAAAGGGGCTGTGGTGGTGAACACTTGACTCCATGCATTTAGTAAAACCCACTAGATTGTAGACTACAAAGAGCAAACTTTACTGCAAGCAACTTAAAAAAAAAAATCAGGACGTCAGGGAATCCCAAGTTGAAATGCAGACTGAGTATGACAAATGCCTCTAACTGTATGAAAAATGTCTAACAAAATTGCACGGGAGGGGGAAGAGCTGACCTAGGTAATCGGGGAAAGCGGTGCTCTACTGTAACCTGTAATGCCAAAGACAGAAAGAACCGACAAAAGCACTGCACTCTACCTGGTAATTGTTTCCCACAAGAATACAGGTCAGCAAGTCTGATACTGCTTTCTGGGTACACTGGGGTTGAACAAATAAGTGCATAAATTGTAGATAACAGAAGTGATGTTTCTCATTGCCAGAGGAAGTAAGATAACAAGCAAGCAAAGGAGGGAAGGCTAGAATGAACGGTGTGGAGTTGGAGGAGTCAAAGATATCAGCATGAACTCAGATAGACAGAGAGCTAGGCAGGCAGAGAGATGATACAGAATAAAAAGAGCTCTTATTGGCCAAACTTGGGACAACTTGAGCAACAAAATTAATGACAATAACATTTGATTATAACCCAAAGAATAAAATAAGTATCTAGTAGTGCATACTGATACAAATAAATGATTGAGTAAATAAAAGGTAGAGAAGGGAAAACTCTTCCTTACAGAAAAATTCCAAAACTTCAAATAATAAATGTAGACAGAATGAGGGCAATAGAAAAACCAGCACTTGAACTCCATAGTAATAATTATTGTGGACAAGATTCAAGGACGAGTGATAAGATTAGTGAGTGAAACTTTAAAGAGAAACAGAATAGAAGCATAACCTCAAATGATCTCTCCCAAAATATTTGTTAAATGCTTTTGTGGTTTTTAAAAAATGTCCACAAATTCTTTGATACTTCTCCCTCCAAGAGATATAATTTATTTTCCCAGCCCTTGAGTGTTATTAACTGGACTTAATAACTGCTTCTAGTGAATAAAGTATAAAAGGAGTAAAAATACTAATTTTACAGTTGAGAAAGCTGGCAGACATCACCTTAACCAAGGAGTCAAGGTCACCACCCCTAGTAATAAGCTGACTAGTACATGCTGACCTCATGTTTCCCTGACATGATGCAATGAGAAGGGCACTTCATCTCTATGGTTTTCTAAAAAAAAATCCATACCCCGAGTCTAAACACGAGAAAACATCAGACAAGTTCTGGTCCCAAACATTCTATGAAATATCCGACAGTGCTCTTCAAAAGTGTCAAGTTAATGAAAAACAAGGGAGCCCTAGCCTGTTTGGCTCAGTGGATAGAGCATCGGCCTGCAAACTGAAAGGTCCCAGGTTCAATTCCAGTCGAGGGCACATGCCCAGGTTGTGGGCTCAATCCCCAGTGGGGGACTTGCAGGAGGCAGCCGATCCATGATTTTCTCTCATCATGGATGTTTCTATTTCTCTCTCCCTCTTCCTTCCTCTCTGAAATCAATAAAAATATATTTTAAAAAAAGAAAAAGAAAAACAAGGGAAAACTGAATGTGGTATCTTACTAAATCCTTAAGTGGGAAAATGGGTGAAATTCAAATAAAGTCTGTAGTTTAGTTAATAATGCTGTAGCAATGTCATTTTTTTAGGTTTGATAAATGTAATAGATAATGTAATAACAGGGGAAGCTGAGTGTAAGATATGTAAGAGTTCTGTAATATCTTTGTAACTTATCTGTAAACCTAGATTGTTTCAAAATAAAAAGTTGAGGAAAATGTTATAATAAAATGCATTCAGTGTCGCACACAAAAAAAGATGCATGGCTAAGCAATAGCCTTATTGTTGAATCCAGAAATTAATAGAGAAACTAGCATAAATAAATAAATCCTTAAAAAGATTTAAATAAAAAGAAATATGGACAACTCTTGTCTTTTTTCTTGAAATACTGACAAACTCAGACCTATCAACAAAGCCTGGGCACATAGCTTCCACATCGTGTAGGCTAGAACTCATTATTTTGTCATTAGCTTGCTTTTTGTATCTCTAAAGGAACCTCAAGATATCATCTCATCAAGGTTGGGGAGCATTTCGTTCCCACCCCGGCCCATAGACCCTAAAAAAACAAAATCATTAGCATCAGTACAAAGCAACTTAATGCCACTTTGGTTTGTTAGTTTTGGAGTGGGTTGTTTTCTTTTTTCAGAGAGAGAAATGTGTGACATTATATTCATGTGTTTTTAAAATTAAGAAGAGTTTACTTAAAATTGTTTCATAAATATGAAAAAAATCTATCCACATTAGAAAGGTTATGGAATGAAAAAAGAGAGAGAGGAAGGGTGCTGAAAAGGAGCGGCCTGATACTCCCAGGTGGCGTTGACTGCCTGACTAACCCCCTTCCGGTGATCTAGAGCAGGGGTCCTCAAACTTTTTAAACAGGGGGCCAGTTCACTGTCCCTCAGACCGTTGGAGGGCCGGACTATAGTTTAAAAAAAAACTATGAACAAATTCCTATGCACACTGCACATATCTTATTTTAAAGTAAAAAAACAAAACAGGAACAAATACAATATTTGTATTTGCATGTGGCCCGTGGGGCATAGTTTGAGGACCCCTGATCTAGAGAATGAGGTTGAATGGGGTGTTTAAGTGAAGCCACCCTGAGTGAGAAGCATCTGAGAGGAACTGCAGTCTGTGTCTTAATAGAGGATGAGTATTCAAATTCAGTAGTGAGATTTTGCTGTCAGGTCCCAGGGTGAAAATGGAAAAACAATATAATAACTATAGCTTCCATGTGTAGTAGCATATTTCCTTCTATTCTCACACTAGCCCTGAGAGGTGGGTACTGTCACTATTCTCCTTTTATAACTGGGAAAGCTGATGCTAAGGGACATTAAGGAACTAGCCCCAAGTCCCACAGCTGGTAACTGGGGAGCCAGAATTGGAACCTGGGTCTCTATGACCTCAGAGTTTGAGCTTATAACCACAACACAGAAAGAGTCTAAAGTTGAGCAGACTCAAGGAACCAAGAAGAAAAAGAAAGGACAGGCAGGAATAATGTGAGAGAGTTTAGCATTTGCCTCAAGTACTGAATTCACTTTTAATGGCCACTGGGATTGGTTTTCTGATTTAAAAAACCAACATTGGAGCAAACAAGGAAATAACATGGAGACAAAGACAAAATGTTCTTTCTCTCTCCCCTGCCCGCAGGCATGTGGTGTGTTTGTATGTGTGTGTGTGTGTGTGTGTGTGTGTGTGTGTGTGAGAGAGAGAGAGAGAGAGAGAGAGAGATCTTAGACTCACAGAGCAAGTGGAATTAGAGCCACCAAACATAACCATGTACACCTACAGCAGCAGTTCTGTTTCATCTAGAGTCCAGTGGTTCTCAACCTTCTGGCCCTTTAAATACAGTTCCTCATGTTGTGACCCAACCATAAAATTATTTTCGTTGCTACTTCATAACTGTAATGTTGCTAATGTTATGAATCATAATGTAAATATCTGATATGCAGGATGGTCTTAGGTGACCCCTGTGAAAGGGTCGTTCGACAGCCAAAGGGGTCGAGACCCACAGGTTGAGAACCGCTGATAGACTCTTCCAGGGCCAACTCTGCCTGGCTCCTGTGCAGGCTGGAACTCAGCAGAGCACAGCTGGTAGGATAGTGACTGGCAGCTTTTTCACCACAATAGAAGTGGTTTGTTGCTCTCATGTCTATCAGCTAGTGATCCTGAGATAAATTTGTCTCCTGAGAAGTCTGTGACTCTCTGTTAGATAGGCCCCTGTTGTGTTATGATAGCACCCACAGTTCTCCACAGCATGCTTTACTCTAATGATTAACTCAGCATTTGAATGAATTTATCTGAACTCTGCCTTTCTCACTTCTACCTAAGATCCATAAAGACAATGGTTTATTTTTCTTTTTTTAACATTGTATCTCCAGTTTTCAGGACAATACTTACCACATAAAAATACTCAATATTTGTTTATTAAACAGGGTGCCACATGAGCACTGGCACCCTGTTTAATCAGTGCTGGCAGAGGCGAGTCTTCTCAAACTTCTGTAATGTTACAAGATAGAATTAGCACCCAGCCCTGAACACCAGCCTAACAGGTTGGAGTTCTAACCACCTCCTCACCCTACTTTTTAGTAGGTCCCTTCTCTGGGTCTAGATCCTACTTTCCTCTAAAAATGGGCTAGGTCATGCTGATCAGGACTGATGTCTCTGAAACTGGATCTCGATCTTGAAGGCAAGCCAGTTCAGAGTCTTCAGGTTTGTCCTCTGCCCCTGCTGTCCTGGTGTATAATTCTTTCTTGGCCTCATCTCCACCTGATAACCATTTTCCTCCAGGGAGCAACCATTGCCTCACAGTCAGAGCACAGCAATTATGAGTCACATGGATGCTAAGGAGCCAGAGCAATATACTATTGTGCTAGATACTCTCCATTTTAAACAATAGCAGCAATGTTTTAGGTTAGTTTATTATTTCTCTTTCTTCTTTTTGTTAGATCTTACAGTCTTATATGAAGAGCACTAGTGGTAGTTTATGTCTTAGGCTTCAGGTAAAACTATGATGGAAATGATA